AGAAAACATTAAAGACTTACTCACAGAGTATATTTTACAATTTATTTTTGTGGGACAAGTTACTAGGAGCAGCATCTGATTCTATTTAGTTTTGATGGTTTGCGATCAAAGGTTTTTGTTCTCAGAATATTTGCCAAATCACAATTATGTCTCTCCTCATTTGGATTCTCATTTTCTTTCTCTCTTTGTTTTTTTTTTCCCTCTCTGCAAGACAAAAGCAAATAATTCTGAATTTTCCATCAGGCTCTCCAAATCCCTCCTCCCCTAAATCCTAAAACAATCTCACTCTCTTCACCACTGGGACCCCACCCACATACCGCCTCTCTTCATTCTCTCACACTTCATTCGTTTCTCTGCTTCAGTGCAAAGCCAAACAAGCCAGCCATTAAGCTGAGTATAGCGCAGGAAGTGGGCCTTCGGGCCAGGCAGTACTGTTTACATGAAGCTTGTCAGGTTTCAGCGGCACTTTGAAGTGAGCAGCACAGGAGACTGTCTGTCACTAGGCAAAGGCCCAGCACTGCTCCACTGACTCACTCACATTCCCCCCATTCATCTGAGCAGAGAGAGGCAGGGAGGGTGGAGACATAGAGGGTGTAAAAGGGCAGAATAGAGGAGGCAGGTAGATTTATGGTTTTCCCCCCTTAGAGTCTCTGTTCTTACCTTTAATCACTCTTACCCATCTGTTATTACAACCCGTCTTTATTAAACCCTTGGTGAGGATATAAAAAAGACAAACATCAAATAAATATAACAACCCATTGGTCGTGATATAAGTCGAAAAGGTAACTCAAATTAGAATATTATCCACAGAGGTGCAGACTAACTCACTCACTCACTAACAGTATATACTATATGCATGCACTATATGCATGCCTCTAGCCAAGAGCTTCTGCTCTGAGGCACAGGGATCAGCTTTCTCTTACACATCCATCTACTTCATGACATCACTGCAGAGACGATTGAGTTTCAGCCATAAGCAGCTTGGGGGATTCCAACTTGCTACAATACACAGAGAGTCCAGAGAAGTAACAACAGCAAATGAATATTTTTCTTCCGCCTTCACCGACCGCACAAGCGGGAACATTTTCACACCTATGCAACAGCACAGGCTTGGCTTGCCAGAAGATTCCCATTAGTTTACACAACAGGCAAGAAAAAAAAGTTTCTTGTTGTTGTTCAGCACTCGAACGCAATGTTAATGTACATGTGTGAAGATGTTCCCTGCTGCATTCTTACATGGTGGCATTAGTTGCTTAGGCACAACCCCCCCCCCCCCTCCCCAGATGTTCAATATTTTACAATTTACTGACAGAGTAAGTGATTAACAGGCGAATTGTGTTTATACTGACAGGCTCAACGTACGTGGATTCCTTGTATTTCCCTGGGGGATAATTCTGTGTTCAATAATCACTTTAACTGTTGCCCGTCAGTCTGAGGCAACAGATGTTCAGGTGTGATACAACCCTCACCCCTTGAGAAAACAATGTGGCTGTGCTTGAATTAAAGAAAATCACACGTTAACAACAGGGTTTAATTGTTAAAACAATACTGAACACATATAAGAGCAGAAAGATGAGAAAAAAAACCTCACACAAAGCATGATGTTCCTGTCTAACCACAAGTTCAAAATTCATAGTCATGAGTTGATATCTGTAAATTCTGCAGAGACTCTGCACATGTTTTCCGTAAATTAAGGATAACAACACAATGTTCTAATCTATAATCACAAATTAACAGAAAAGAAAACGCAAAAAGAACAAAAAACAGGCATGTCTTTGTCTGGGCTTGTGGCATTCATACAGTGCAAAATTACTTAGTTTGAGTACACTAGCAGATAAGGTAAAGTATTTACTTTTTAAATACAATAATATAATGTTGTGTTTTTACAAATACTATTTACAATTTTGTAAAACTGTACATGAAATGTTTTTGCAAGAGTTTAAAAAAATTCAAATCAGTCATTCAGTCTGTGTTCTATTGTCTGCTGGATCATCACTCCCCAGAGTTTATGGAGGCTTTAAGAAAGGAACCAGAGAAGGTGAGGAGAGCAATCAGCACATGGCATCCATAGCCATGATTGTTATTTGTTCACACAGTCAGGTTCAGTCTGTGTTTATCCAGCTTGTGTTTTTCTCAAAATCCAACCCTCAGTTTGGCATGCAAGTGTGACTAGAAAGCTGAGGCAAACACAAATGCTACAGCTACTCACTGTGCTACTTACCTATGACATGAGGTATAGATAATAAAACAAATAATAATCGGAGCAACACTCATGTGCTTTCACTCTACACAGTGGTCTCTCCGTGTTTGCCATTTGTCAGCCTTGTGTAAAACTTATGCCAGGAGTTCAGAGTCTTTCCAGACCAGATCCAGAAACCAGAGGTGATGCCCACTATCAGAGTCATCAGATATTTGATCATGAAGACGGTGAAGTCTGGTGTCATGTGGGGTCCAGGATGCATAGGGCAGGGAATGGCCAGGCTCCTGCAGTTGTGGCTGACCCAGCTGTGCTCCCAGTGGGGCCGAAAGGCCTGCTCATAGAAGAAGCATGCAATAACAATGGTGGCAGGTACCGTGTAGAGCACGCTGAACACCCCGATCCGTACCATTAATCGCTCCAGCTTCTCCGTCTTGGTGCCATCGTGTTTCATGATGGTGCGGATTCTGAACAGTGACACAAAGCCAGCCAGCAAGAAAGAGGTGCCGATGAAAAGATAAATGAAGAGAGGGGCCAAAACAAAGCCCCGTAGAGGATCCAGGTTGCTGAGACTCACAAAGCAGACTCCGCTGAGCACATCACCTTCAATCTGCCCAATGGCCAGGATGCTAATGGTCTTGACAGCTGGCACTGCCCAGGCTGCCAGGTGAAAATACTGAGAGTTAGCTTCAATGGCCTCGTGGCCCCATTTCATACCTGCAGCCAGGAACCAGGTGAGCGATAGAATGACCCACCATATGGAGCTGGCCATGCTGAAGAAATAGAGCATCATGAAGAGGATAGTACAGCCTTCTTTTTTGGTGCCTTGGACTATGGTCTTATAGCCATCAGGGGTGAAGCTGTCATTGCACGCCACCCTATCACCGAGGAAGAAGCCTGCTATGTAGGCAATGGAGACCATAGTGTAACAGCCAGACAAGAAGATGATGGGCCGCTCTGGGTATCTGAAGCGTTGCATGTCAACTAAATAAGTGGTTACTGTGAATAACGTAGATGCACAACAAAGCACAGACCAAACTAGAATCCATATGCGCGAGAAATGAATTTCTTTATCACTGAAAAACATTTTCCCACCGCTCCTAGATGACTCACAGGGAGCGGCACAGTCCTTCTCTTCTAAAAATTTATAATTCAAATATGGGGGAACTTTAAGAACAGACGGGCAATGGAATGGCCTTCCACGTGGGGGGATTATGGAGACATCCGACGTTCCTGGAACAGATATAACCGGAGGGACGGTGGCAGTGGAGGAGTCATTTTGGCCCACGCAGATTTGTCCATCTCCCAGCACAGGGAAGTTTTCGCAGCGCAATCGGTCCGGCCACTGAAAGCCAAACTTGTTCATAAGAGCCTCGCAGCCCTGCTTGGCCCTCTCACAAATCGATCTGCATGGAGGAATGGCCTTTTCCAAAACTGTACAAACAGGCGCATACATGGAACACAGGAAGAATTTCAACTCTGGCGAGCACTGTACCTTCACGAGCGGGTAAAACTGGTGCACTTCGAGCCCTGCGTCCTCCTGGTTGGAATGACCCACTAAATTGGGCATGATGGTTTGGTTATAAGCAATGTCCGTGCACAGAGGTATCGAAATCGGCTGACAAAATCCATGTTCCGGGACAACTATTCCGTTGTCGCCTTGATACTGTGCTGATATCAGCAGGGGCAGCAGGACCGCAAAAAAAAAAGTTTTGCAAAAACGCATCTTCCCAAGTTTAAGTATCAACCACAGCCTGATAAAGTCGCTGTAAATTTATCTAGTGAGCTCCTTCGTATTATCAGTTCTCCAGTAACAGTAAGTCTCTATAGGGGGGCAAAGTTGCTCCTCTCTTTGTTGCTTAGTCTCTGCTTAAACACTGCTGGCTGACTTTTTTCTCTTCTAAATACTCAAATTCCCTTCGGGCCAGCGTTAGTGAGAAATACGCCACAACATCCGGTACAATCTTTCAAAATAAAATCCCAATATGATTTTGAAGGAAAATACTCGAGTCTCAGATATTTTTGCTTTAATGCCTAACACCCGCACCAACACCATCATCAGTAACAATCAGCATCATAATCATAATCGTAGCTTTGGTTGAAGGTTGAAGGCAGACAATCTATGCACTTTCAATGGCATCTGTGGCATCAGAGCCAGAGACTGGAGACATTTGAGTCAGGAAGTGACAGGGGGTGACTGAACACATGTGTTATTATCATGGACAATCTATTTCACCTACTCCATTCTTCACTGTGGAGGCAGCAGGGCTGATTCTCTATCAGGCTTATTTGTTATTCTACATTCCCATTGTTGTCTGTGTCTATGATTTATGGGATATGTGTAATATGCTCTTTTGCACAATCTGAGTTTTATTTTAAGTTCATTTTAATTTTCTTTATTGTTATCGCTTATTGTTATACACAATTAAGACAGAAAATCAACAACAACCTTGCAGAAAATAAGAACTTCATGATGGGTACTTTTACTTCAACAACTTTAACAATACTTTAACAATGTTCTTTTTATTCTAAATTATAGTGTTTTTTTATTTTTTATTTTTATCTCGGACCCACATTCTTGCATGGATTAAGAGGGTTCAATATCTGACCTGAACAACCTGCACCCATGGATTACAAATTTGGGGGTTCTTTTGTCGACCAAAATCGGTTCTGTTCCGTTTAGGCCCACTAGAATGCGCATGCTCTTATTTTGAAGGAACACTTTCTTGTCTACTGGTTGCATTTTGAGACGCTTTGAAATTAACTCCACAGCTGGAGTGGTGTGGTAGAACAGACTTTACAAGCGCCCCTTAAACTAAAATGTAGATAGGAGAAGGGTTTCGTGTCACTTTCAAGTGTCCATCAGTAACTCAGTTTGTATGTACTAAGATCATAATATCTTCATTTTAAAATTAATTTAATGAACAAACTGCAGACCTAAAACTGACTACTACCACTTATATTAGAATAAATGATTATTATAATAAAGATAGTATTTACATGTTCTGCTTAACATAGCCTATATAGCCTTTATACACAGTTTCTGTGTAAGGTGTTTTTTATGTTAGCACCTGCCATGCCACACCATGGTATAAATTATGGGGGAGGGGATGCCGCTATATGTTGCTATGCCCCTTTGTTTTCTGCTTGATGTTAATTGGAGTAAAAGTATAATCCCTCAGCCTCAGCCAATGTGCTTTCAGGTCGCGAGGGCAACATCGAACATCTCCTGGGTGGACTTGAGGACGGCACGAGAGGGATTAAGGCGATGATTGTCGAGAAAACTGTTGAAACTCCTTAAGTTCGCCTTGTTTGACTAAATGCGGGTAGGTAACTTTAAACGGTACATTTTGCTGACCAAAAAGTTAAAAAATAAAATAAAATTAGAAAACATTTACTGGTAAAAGCGTTAGGCTAAAGCTACGGGTTAAATTAGCAAAGTCATCATCAAAGTTTGCTAGCTTGTCCAGTTACATAAACGGCTAGTTAAGTTTGCTAAGTTGGCTAGCTGAAAAGTTGCCTTTTCCCGAAAAAGTAGTTTGCTAATGTATTTTTCATATCTGTCAAATGTCTTAATTTACTATGCAAAGCTTTATAAAAATGTTTCGTTCTTTGTACATTGCCAGAGCTGTAACCGAGTACTGAAGAACCAAAGGGGAGTTCAGAATGGCGTTTGATGGACGTCAGAGCGCATTTGCAAATTCACTCTTTCACAGCTATCAACGTCAGGTAAGCAGGAATAAGCAGTAATTTAGGCTAAGGTACTTTGCATATTTGAAATATCTCCATTTCTTAAGAGTTTATGATAGGCCATCTCACTGATGATCATTTTTTTCCCCTCCATAGTTAACCATATTGGTTAACTTGGGTTATGGGACAAAGGAAAAAATGCAGTTCATCCCAAAGGGTTTTTTTTTAGTTTTTTTTTTTAGTTCAGATTAGAACCACACTAAGGAATGAAACAATGTGAGATCCTGTTGATGAAACTCAAGAACAGGATTGGAAACGAGAGGCGACCCTCTCACTCCAACACCCACTGAAAAAGCTGCTAGGCTTTTGCCAATATATTTTAGTTCAAAAACTGGCAAATAAATTAACATTATCATTTCAAATGTAATTATTTGAAATAATTTCAATTCCGTATTTTTACAGAGTTAAAATTGTCTGTGAAAGTTTTAGCTTAAGTGTTGTAATTTGCATTAGTTTGCCTTATATGAGATTGGATTTTCTTTATTTCAGGTGGGTGTTAATGCGGGAGGTGGAAATGGCAGTACGGTAGCAATACCCTTCATTTCCATCCCCAGTGCGTCACAGCAGGAACAGGACACTGCATCCTATATGCCCTGGTCTTATTCTACTCAGGATGATCCTTATGAACTCATTAGATGTGCCCAGCCCAGCATTAAAAACAGGTATTCACCTAAATGAAGTTGTAAGCAGTTTCATTGCTATGCAGCAATGCTTGTTCAATCAAAACGGCTATTTGTTATTTCCTAAGAATTTACTTTCTGTTACTTTAAGGAAACCCCCTGAAAATGCTGATTATGGTGGTGAGAGTGATCTACAGGGTCTAGTGTCAAATATTTTGGATGATGCAGATTCACAGGATAGCTTCTACAGTGAAGGGTATGTCATTATTGTGATGCATGTAGTAGTTTACTTCATGCTACAGTGTGCATTGTAAAACGTAATAATCAACAGAATAAGATATGTGAAAGTTTTACCTGCTTAAAATAGTTTGTGATTACTGTCACTAAAGGAATTCCTCAATTCCTCTTTTAGGACCCTACCTACATGCAATCCCATCTGGTCTCCAAAGACATTGAGTGAAGAACTGCTACAGTATTTAGAATCTGAGGCAAAAATGCAGCATAACCCTTCCTTTACTCCAAACTATGTATCTCAGGAAAGTTTCAGTAAAGCACAGCATCGGTCAGGAGACAAAGATGTTGGTGAGCTAATGCAACAGTCGAATGGCCTTGTTTCTAATCGACAGTGGCTTTTTAATGGAGAGAGCTACCTACCCCATCCCCAAAAGCTGCCACCAGGTCTACCAGTACCAAATGCTGGAAGCAGCTATACATCACAGATGCAGCAGAACAAACATGTCAACATGCCATCTTATAATAAAGGAGTCAATGGTCAGGCTTTTAATAATTTTCCTGACATCAGTGACATTTTTAGACCTCAAAGTGAAAACAACACACCCTGTTTTGAATCTTTCTATGAAGATAACTACATCCAGAACAGCATAAAGCCAAATGGTAATGGGCAGTATGTACCAGAACACATTAACCATCTGGTCAGCAGCTTTCAGTCATTAATGACACATGGGAATGATGGTGTGTATTGTGGAGACCTGGGAAACATGCATAAGCAGATAGTGGGCATGGACCATGAAGACAACGTGGCTGAACAATGGAAAATAACCAGTCCTACAATGTCAAGACAGAATTCTCCTGGAAATCAGATTCCAAAACAGCTGATGGGGGAATTGGGGACAGTGCAAAGAGAAAGAAACAGAGTGAAGAAACAAACATTCAAAAAGGATGGCTTTCAAGATCTACCCAATTTCTACCCTCAAAGCACAGAGTATGTCCAACAGCCAAAGCAATTCCCTACACTGTTAAATCCCCCAAATCAATACCCCAAAAAGATGGTGCATAGAGAGAACATAAATGTAACTACAAACCAGTATTCAAAACATCAGCTGCAGAATAAGACAAAATCTCAGGTTCAGAAAGAAAAAAGCAAAATGCAAGCAAATGGATTTCTAAGAGAGGGCTTTGCTAGGAGGCCCCAGTTCAACACTTTCATGAGAGAGGGGGAAGCACAGCTCCTTTCACAAAACCCATACTTTGACTTCCAGGAGACTGTGCAGTATAAAAGATTTGATGGTGAAAACGGCATGGTCAGTGCAGGGAATGTACAGCAGTTCATGCCCTTAATGTATCCTGTAAATGACCCCAGGAGGTACTCGGGGATCCCTGTCAAATCCAACTTCAGCTCTAGATCCACACAGCCTTATGCAAGTAGTGTTCCTGGCATGGAAGCAGATGATGTGATTCCACTTAATGAATCTGCAGCTTTCAACTCCTACCTCAGCGATATGAGGACCCACAGAAGGGACAGTACTTATCATGGAATGGCCTCAGCAATGACAACTTCAGTGTTAAGGAATCATGGAGGACCAGTGATTCAGCTTTACTTCTACCTGGATGAGTGTTATGAGCAGTGGAGGTGTTTGGAGAAGGAGAGAAAAAGGGTATGCCATCAAGTCCTGATTTTGTGTTAGAGGATATTAGGAGTAGAAGCCCTCTTCAATCTAAAGTTATAAAAAAAGTTTATTTTATAGAAATTAAGTTAATGAGGTCATTTGCTCAGCTGATGAAACATGATACAAATACAGCTTTTGTGTGTGCAATACAACTGAATTATACTAGTAAATGTATTTTTAGTCAGCTTGGGTCCAGAATAGAATAGAATAGCCTTTATTGTCATTGTACAAGGTACAACGAAATTGGAGTGCCACTCCCTTGGTGCAAAATGCAATAATAAATATAAAATATAAAAAGTACAATAAAACAACCGAATCTCTCTATTGCTAATATTTAGCATCAGCTTGAGAAAAATCTGTTTGCAGCTTATGATGTACAAAAATATTTTGTTGGTATTTATAAAAAAAAAAAAAATTCTACCCTTTAAAATGTTTTAAGGTTGTCATATTCTTGTATATTTTCTATTTTAGACAGAAGTCATCCTTACAAAAACATTTCTTGAGAAAAGAAGTCCAGCAGTGACCAACAGTAACCTGCCCAAAACTCCACCAAATCCCACAAGAGTTGACCACCTCATTGTTAATCAGATAAAAGAACAATCAAAGGTGAGAGCCCTGAATTTAATGCTTATATACTGTCACCTACAGGGGAATTTTATCACAGCAGTTGCCAGTTGTTAACAGTTACAGGCAACTAAGTTCCTACATTTTTTTTTTTTTTTTTTTTTTTTTTTTTTTAAGCAGGGGCACTAATTAAAAATCATACATGCATATAAAATACTGCCCCAGTAAGGCAAACAGTTAATCTTAATTGTTTCCTTACATTGTATTTATAATAGATGGGTTTAAATTGTGGCCTTGGTCATTTTTTGCAGAGTGTGTCAATTGCTCAGACTACACAAACAAACAAAAACCCCATAAGTGGCAAATACACTAACATGACCTAACTTATAGTAGTATACAAAAGTCTTGAGCCACCAATTTCTTTTGTTTTTCTTCCAAGCAGCCAGACTGTCTTGTAATTTTTTTAAAAAGTGGTTTTCAGCAGTATTTCTCCAGGGTTTATGAATGCCTATTAAAGTAGTCATTTACACATGCTTTCCAATCCAGTGCTTTAACATGATCATTTCTTTAGAGGAATATTTTGTTTTGTTAAGCCTTATAGCATTAATCTATGAATCATTCAAGGATAAAAAGCCCCCTAACTCTGGGGCTTTCCACATAGAGCAGACAACTTAGGAAATAACCAATTTTAAATTGTGTCTTTTGACACTTTACTAACAGCCTGTTTTTATGTCTAAATATGCATATCATATACATGCATATCTATCTATATATTGTATTTTCACCTATTGCCTATAGTCAGAGCAAAATTAAAAGAAATGAAATGTTTTAAGACCTTTGGACATTTTAACTGTAAACCTAGTCAACTTCAATATTATTTTTTTTTTTTACATTTTGTATTATTTTCATGCATGATATGTCATCATTCCTTGGGATTGGTCTTTTATTATATTTTTTTTAATTGATCTTTTTGTGATGTGTTACAGGTGGCAAGTCTTCTGGAGAAAATGGAGTGTCTATGTGGTGTTCCCCTTCCAGCAAACATCCACACAGCCCTGAAAAAGAATCATATGGCCATTTGTGTCACACAGGCAAGATGTAAGGAGGAGGCTGTGAACATGACCAAGCACCAGTGGCAGAGACCTAATTTCACAAAGGACCGAGGTAATCCACGTAGTGGTAGACAATGTTGTATGCATGTTCCATGCATGTTCCATGTTGCATGTCCTAATGTGTTCTTTTTCACAGACACCTTGTTGGTGGTCGTGGCTCTGAAGGACCTAGCTGCTACCACTAGGAAGCTCTGCACAGCTCTGTGGTGTGCCCTCCAGATCACACTGCCAAAACCCATCATCATCCAGGATCATCATATTATCAAGGAAGACGCAAACAAGGAGAAGTGCCCTTCTTCATTTGAAAGATACTCTTTTAGGTTATAATTTAGCAAGCGACAAGTATGAGTTGAAGATAAAATAAAAGTCACTCCACATTGCCCTGCTTTTAAGTGTTCTATAGCTAGCAGGGTCAATGAAACAAAGGTTATTGTAGTATTACCTAACTGAAAGTCAAAACCACATTTTATCTGCAACACAAAGATCACTGCAGAGTATGAGATGAGCAATTTAAAAGTGCGATGACTTCATCATTTGGTTTCAGAGAGCTTCTTTCGTTGTGTAGGAATTGCATGAAATATTTTATCCTGCTGCATCTTAACTTAATTTCATTCAATTAGTGTCAGACGCAATCAACACAAATCTTGCACCATCACTGTTGTATTTAAAGGCACTATTTATGTAGAAGATTTCAGTCAATCTTCATTGTTTTACTTATTTATTGGAATGTAATGGAACCTCAGTTCTGGGTATTCCCAAGCAATAATTGATTCTCAAGGGCAGTAGCTTAAAATGAACATGCTAATTATTAAAATGCTTTCTGAAATATTCCAACTGATTTCAACAGCTTCAGTTTTTCATATTTAACTTTAAAATTCTACAATGGGAAAAGTTTTTATCTGCAATTTGGTGCCACTAATGTAAATTTCTAATAAAAAATATAGATTTTAAGTTTTAATCACACTTCCAGGTAGAAACATGGTATTAACAGACATATCGGTGGGATGTTAAACTCTGAAAACACTGAAATGTTCAAATACTTGCTGCATATCAGTGTCAATAGTTTTGGATAAATGTTCCATTTAGTATTTAACACTTTAATTATTTGTTATTAACTGTAATCATAATTCTGTTATGTGAAATGTAGTCTTAAGCGAAAATATGGTCAAGCTTTAAAGTGTAGCATCTAAAAAATTGAATGCATTAATCAATTAAAAAACATCAGTGAATTGACAGTTTGTCAGCAAGGGACCAAAACATTGAGGCATTACAAAGATTTCTCAGGAAATACATATTGTGTCATTTCTTCCCTCGTGTGCTTTGTGAATGAGCAGTGTTGTTCTATTCCTGCTATTTTAATGTTTCTGTTGGATTTTTTTCTTGTTTGAAGTGGAAAAAAAGCAAAAATAAAGCAATTTCCTTGCTGAAAAGTGGTTTTTTTTATTTATTTATTTTTTATTTTAAAAGATGAACCGTAAACATTCAGAATGATGGTACATAATATATTTGAGGTAATTTACAACTGCTGTGTTCTTAAAAAAAAGCATTGAGTTATTACAGCAGCACATGCCTTTAATCAAAAATGTTTTGAAAAATGAAGGCATTTGCAAGATGTGGCAAAGGATAACAGGCTCAACTGTTGAGTTAAAACTATTTGGGTTTCTTCACCCCCCCTTACGATTAGTTCAATTTCAGGTTCAGCAGTATAATTTCATCATTTAAGGTTAAATGTACTTTTAGCCAACTCAAAGCATACTATGTATTTGTTGGAAAAACTATATTTGGCCGACTTAAGTGAAAATTTGACTAACAAGGGATTGACCATGTTCATCATTGACATACAGCTTTGTTTTTTTTTAAACATCTGTTTAACTCTGAAAACAAAAGACATTTATTTTTATTCTTAACATATAGTTTGTTATTCACACACACATGAGAAACAAACAAGGGTCTGATGTGGATGGTGTTCAGCTGAAAAAGAGCCAAAGACTTTTTTTTTTTTTTTAATATTGTAGCAAAAATCTTTTTTACAAAGTGTCCTTTCTTTTGGTTTTATCTTTTGCGTTCACCCTTCTGTGTACGCTTCTTCTCCTTCTCTTTTCTGTCCTGTTTAGCTAGTTTGTCCTTCTCTCGCTGCATCTTGTCCATTTCCTTCTTCTTTTGAGCTTCTTCGCGAGCGTGGTCCCGCTTTTGCTTTTGTCTGTTCAGCACCAGCTCCACATTGGTGTTTTTGAACAGGCCTGACACTTTGAGTAAAGGACAAGTGGAAGAAAACTAAAATCTGTACACATCATGGTTATGTATCAATTATCCATTCTTTGGGTTAGACTTGGTTACATACAATTGTAAAATATCTGCACAAAGGATACTTTTATCATTTCCAGTGATATTTCCAGTTGTTGGCTCCTCTTCTTCAGCTTCAGTGCTTTAGTCAAGGAAAGAACTGACATCTTAAGGGTTATGACTGCACTGGATGAGACAAACAGTTTCCCTCATTTCCTTTGCATGGTGAAAAATATGGATGATTGCCAAACTGACTGCAGACTTACTGTTTTTTCAATCAATAAATCAAGGATATTCCTCTTCGTCTGTTACATTAGCATATTGAGCGAGAAGGGCTTCTTTCCTTTTCTTGGACTCCTCAGACACCTCTTTCTGCTTCACCACAATCTGAGCTTGTTTTTCTATCATACTGGCAATGGCCTGGACCTCTGCTATAGAGAAGAAAGGGCAAAAAATGTGCTTTTGCTATTTTAGATTTTTTTCCTCTCTCGCTGTCAGTATATAGGTTTACTAGCAGATGGAGCCATGAGGGCAATATGTCTCCACACAGCATAACACTTCCTTATGGTTATGTACATAGTCAACATTCTCATTCCAAACTCAAGCCTACATTCTGGTTTCAGTCTTGGGGGCTGCTTTTGTTAGTGTTTCCAGGAAATCTCTCCCTTGGATAGAAGTGTCACAAAGCACTCTGCTTTAAACTCAAGGTAAACGATCTTCAACTCATAGATGTAATGCTTCTGTAAGTTTAACCAGTATTAAAGACAGCCTAAGTAGCAAGCTGTCTTTTCCCTTTTCAGTCTGGATTTAAATAAACTGATGAATCTGCCATCCTTTGATGAATTTATTCTTGTGTTCTTTGTAGAGAAGATATACAACTTTGATTGCAGACTACAGGCTTACCTGTGATTCCTAGATTTTTTAAAAGCAGAGTTGAAGGTAATGCCTTAAGCTTTCAGGTCCCTCTTCTGTGGAACTACCTCATAGTTTAGATCTGGGAGACAGACACCCTATCTACTTTTAAGAGTAGGCTTAAAATGTTGAAAAGGTTATATTTAAGGCTGGATCAGGTGACCCTGAACTATCCCTTAGTTAGGCTTCATTAAGCTTGGCTTGCTGGGGGGCTTCCTATGATGTACTGAGTGTTTCTTAACTCACCTCTTTTCACCCTGTGTGCTTAAACACCACTATTGCATTTTAATCATTAGTAATTATTAAACACTGACTCGCTCCCATGCTTTGGCTTTTGTCCTGTTTGCTTTCCCCTTACTCCCAACTGAGTAACTCTGAGTCAAGGACAATAAATATGGTATCGGGAATGAATCAGTCATACAATACCATCATCAGCATCCTTTTTGGCTGCAGATTTGCTGCAACACTCTTCCCACTGCTTTATGATCTGTTTACAGACATCTTCCACTGTGTTCTCCTCCTGTACACAAATGACAGCGAATTCAAGCAAGTCACATAGAAGTAACAACTCAAATTCTGACCTCACTACATAAAACATATTTTTTTCAGGAGCAGTGATAAGACAAGAAGTTTAGATACGTTATTTTATCAATATATATATATATAACCTGCACTAGGTGATTTACTGTATTTTTTCTGAACCGCAAACGTAAAAACGTCTCGGAAAATGTAGAAAAGCCTTTATTTGTTACGTGGTGCGCATCATTGCGGCTTAAGACCACATTCATCTAAAACCTGGCGCTTTCTTAATGGGGTTTGGCGAAACAATTTGACCTATATTACTACTGGATCTTAGCTAAAGAAACTTAATAGCATCTACGGTCGATCATTAGTGCCACATATAGAGGCTGACATCAGCACTGTCACTTGGTAAGCTACCAGGAGACCGACAAGACGGACAGCAACAGACGAGAAAACACAGCCTTGTTGGGAGAACCGAACATGCGCTTCGAATATTCACCAAAAATGCAGATAAAATTCCTTGAAGCGCATCTTCTTTCTCCTCGTCGGTCTCCTCCTCTTGCAGAATCCCTAAAATGTACGCCCCATACACCTCACGATCCACTTCTAACAAGTCCAGTCGATCATTTAGCCAGCTTTCAAACTCCCCGGTGTCTGTCAAGGGCGCAGCCATCTTGGCCCCTTTGGGTCCTACGATGCAGCTCGACTGTCCGTTGTCATTGCCTGCGAAAAAGAAAAAGTTTTAAAGGTGTTTGACAATTCAGCATTTCAATACAAAGGACAGAAAAAGCGCGACCAAGGTAATGAATCGTTTTTATTTTGTAACAAGCTAATACACAAATGTAGCAGCTGATTGGCTGAGTATATGAACTTAAAAAAATCAAATTTATCTCTCGCTGTTGCTTTGAAAGAAATGCTGAGGCAGTTTGCGTGCCAATTACTATTTTTTCTTTAATTGTAGCATTTTTGAAACATAAAGAAAATGTTTATGCAGTCATAGAAATGTGTATTTTTTACTTATAACTTTTGTCTCAACATGAATTTAAGCTGTAATATTTATTCACAGCGTGACACTATTAGCATTTTTTGTATTCTTTTGCAATTTCTTCTGTTTTCAGCCACAAGATTGTAGTTAAACTGAGACGAAAGCTGTCGTCGTTTAATGAGAGAAACTCTGCATCCATTCCTCATACAAGTAGCTTATAGATTGTATTTTCTAGTCTTTCCTAATTTCTGTGATTACTTTACCAAACTACCACACGAAGGGTCCCTACACTTTGCCCCCTGCAGAGTAAATCATGCACACAGATTATACTTCAGGGGTGCACCTATAAAGCTAAATTACAACTCGTAGTCTATGAACACAGGTCTTGTCAGCTGTCCATCTGAATAACATTTTCTGTGATAACTTTATCATGCTGCTTGTTAAATTGATTTAGCAGCCAAAAATTGAATCGGTGCTAAATGCCCAGCATTGGCAGTCGCTTAAGTGCCCTGGGATACTGCCACGAATACCAAAGTTTTTGATTGAAAATTAATGTTTGATTGTTCCGCAGTTTATACAAGTACTTACGCACTCAATCACGCTTTGAGCAGGAGGCGTGCCAGTATTGGTCTAATTGAAATGTTGATTTCCAAATAATGAGCTATTCTTTGTCAACTCGGTGGGCAACTGGCAATCAAAAAACCTCTTGGCAGAAGACAATCGTGATCAAAACATACCAAAAATACTAAAGAACTATTTGTTTCCGCCTTCTAAATTGGGACAAGTCATCTTTGAAGATTAATTTGTGTGATTATAAACCTCTGTGGAGACTATTGCCTCAGTAGCAATGAGGCTAGGAGAAATAATTGACGGAAGCAATTTCCATTACTGTGAAACAGATGTTGCATGATGAAGTTATGCACATTTTTAAAGTATTTACTATTATCTTTTGTAGTATTTGATTCAGTATATATGTAAATTGAGTCACACGAAATGCAGACTTTAGTGATGATCGGCATGTGTGACATTCTGTTTTTGGCCACTGGGTGGAAGTAGAAGACAGATTTGTTTATTTCTTTGTTTATGGTGAAGACGATGGATGAAGATGAATTTAGCTGCATGACAGGCATTTGAACCTCACTTAGTATGTTTTTCATTTTAAAATCCCAATGTGCATTTGCATCAGAGTCGATTTGTTAAAATATAGTTGTTTGCAGACCTGTTGAAGAAGAAAATGCCCTGCATGATGTTTCTTCCTCTCCTGTCATCTAACACTGAGAGAACCAACAACACCTTCCAGCTGTTTGAATATAGTAAAACACAAGTGAATGGTTTGATCCTGCTTCTAGAAAGCATTTTGTGGAAGGGTGGTTATTTGTTACCCCTTACACACACACACACGTGCATAAGCGCGCATTTCCCTTCCTGTTGCTCCCACATAATAGTTTCACACGTCGATGGACTTGCAGTAATGAAGTGTGAAGCTTCTGTGACGCCACAGGGAAGCTACCGTGTGGAACTTTACTCTCTATTTTAGTGCACCACCTTCGGTTCCTTACAGCCCATTGGCTTATGATGGCTTATATATGTGGTTCACTTTGCACATTATTGTAGGTAAAATTAAGTATAAGCTTCATCAAACACACTTAACAATTGTGAAGCCAGACAGACAAGTTTTAAATAACATAAGGTACATAACGTGT